ATCACGATAATCTGAGGTACGGAATTGAAATGATTCCCGAGGTGGTTGACTAAAAGAACTATGATGTAGTTTTGGAGGGGCAATATGGAGGGGCAAGACATACCAGCTCTGGAGGGCTATGTACCTTGGGTATTATGGAGCAGGTGCAGGCAAAAAAATCATCCAGTTAAAAATGATAGAATTAATATAAACCATTTGATTTATTAACCTTCTAACTACTTTGTACATAACATGTTGTATTCCTCCACTTATGCGGGCCAACCGTGTTGTTCAAACCCCTGCGGTGGACGGATTGAGTATGGGTGATATAGCTTGGTGGCTCCCGCCCTCAAAGGAGTCACCGGTATCTCAACATGGGACCACGGGATCTGGCAGACTTTTTTGGGGGGGTTTTATTGGATTTTTCTGTTTGGGAATTATTCGAATTAGTCGTGCTTTTGAGGGGTTTAAACTACTGGGGTCCCCAATATTCTAACCTTGGAAGCCCTACCAGGGCTCGAGGACTGGATTATCAATCCTTTGTTTTGCCTCAACGGCACTCATGGACGAATCACGAACACCCCCTACATGAACCTCATGGATAATCCCTGAGCTAGGTTATCTATGAGACCTCTCATCAGGCCATATCAGCATGCATCTCGGAGCCGACATATCAGTGGCGCAATCTCCAGAGAGGTGCCATGACTGAACGTCCTTTTGTACAGGAGTTAGATCATACAATATAGGGGAAATGGCATGACCAGAGGGATTTCACACAGATTAACAATATAGTTCAGACCTTACCCAGAAAGGATGGACGGTCTGGACTTGATAGGATGAATTATGGATTATGGTACAAAGGGGAGAAATGAACAGCGTGCTATCATTCAAATCGGCCATCGATGACCCATGAGGGGAAATATCAATTGATGGCCTAGAGCAACCCAGCATTTGCATTTATTCCTCCTTAACACCACCACGCCAGTTCTTCTCGGCAGCCTCAATGGAGGCCTTGTCGCTCTTGGGTCCACCCTGGGACATGAAGCCACCAGCGGCCTTGAAGGGACGAGCGAGATCACCAGTAGCGGGCTTTCCGAAGACGTGGATCTTGGCCAGGTTGGACTCGAAGGCGCCCTTGAGGGGGATGATCGACTGGATGAGGAGGGGGTTGGTGTACTGGAAGTACAGGTGCATCACACCCATCATGCCGACACCCATAAGCTGGCTGCGGAGCAGCTGGCGCAGCTGAGCCTTGTCGTAGTCCATGTTGGTGGTGGTCACGGGCTTGGGCTCCTCGGTGCTACCCATCGCGGCGGGCTCAACGTACTTGAGGGTTGTCATGTCTAGAGGGTATCGCAGTTAGTTTTTGGCTATTGTGGGGAGAGAGCACGCGATCGACATACCCTTCTTTTGGTTGATCTTAAACTGGGTGTATAGGTGGACAGCCAGGATGAGGACATTGGACAAGATGTAGCATCCGCGCACCAACATCAGGACCTGAGGATCCTCAAAAGGAACCTTCTTGGCCAGCTGCATCATCACCAAGATGATGGCGAGGTTGGTACTGTGCGACCATTGTCAGTTTCCGTAAACGATAGAGTTTGTATTTGAAATCAGAAAATTTTTCCATCAAGCATACATTTGAGGAGACACCATTTTGCCGGATACTATTCGATATGGAGAAATCGTTGAGTATGGGGGAGTACAACGCGAACGAAACTTGAAAGTCGCGGGCCACCTGGCATTTCTGGAAGGTCAGGGATCCGGATAAAATGATATTCCGGCGCTATCTATTCGCCATCTGGTCGTCTGAGGCGTTAGGGTTTGTCGCCTGACCTTTGAGGCAACAGATCATGTGACCTCCCCGTTGGTCATAGCTGGGAACTGTGATGGTCCAGCTTCAAACCAGACCAGCTTATTGTGCAAAAGGTCAGCAACCACCACATCAGTGGACTTGCATTTTAACTTGAAGCTGCACAATGGTGTGTATTATGGCAACTACAGGAGCTTCATATATGAATCCTAGCCATAGATGCCGGAGGCATCCATTCCCTCCAGCCAGCTGAAGGCGCACTGGCTTCCGTCATGGTCTCCTCGCATGCCACAACTAACCATGTCTTCTCTATTTTTTTTCAGGAAGAGAACGAAAGAGAAAGAAACGAAATAAATTGATAACCTCTGCAGCAACTAATTTCTAGATGATCCCAATGGTCCTGCGGGTGGCCGTATATACAGCCAAGAACCCCCAACGCTGTGAGAAAGGACGCTTCCATTTTGGGACTAGCGCCAAGTGTCTTTTTGGCACACCCGGCGCCAGGCACATTCTGACTTCTCCATCCATCAACAACACGCGTATCTTCCGCACCCTGAATCGTCTCCACATCCACACCACTACCAAATCGTCTTGGTTTCTGTTTCTATCTGCTATATCTACTTCTGCGACCGTCTTCGCACATTTATTTCGCAATGCCTGGCGGAAAGGGAAAGTCTATCGGTGGAAAGGGCGGAAAGGGTGATGCTGCGGGGAAGGCGCAAAAGTCTCACAGCGCAAAGGCTGGTCTGCAGGTTAGTGGGATTATGACTCCTCTCATTGCTGGCTTAGAAATCATCTCGTGCGAGAGTGGTCATGCGATACGAGCGATGAGTTACTCGATGAAAACTGCCCCTCGAAGACGCGTCGACTCGGTCCCTCGTTGCTGCTCGATAAGGGGCATTTTCTTTCGATATCTATGGAACTCATACCATGCCGTCGCATATTCTCTCTCTCGACCATGTTTTCCTCTAATCACCAGCTGGCTATTATGACGCGACTGCTAACACAAATTCACTCTCCAGTTCCCCTGTGGTCGTGTCAAGCGTTTCTTGAAGAACAACACTCAGAACAAGATGCGTGTCGGTGCTAAGGGTATGCTGTGCCGCTTCGACTGATTCCCCAAACCCGTCGCTGACACTTTTCTTCCTATAGCTGCCGTCTACGTGACTGCTGTCCTTGAGTACCTCACTGCTGAAGTTCTCGAACTGGCCGGTAACGCCGCCAAGGATCTTAAGGTCAAGCGTATCACGCCTCGCCACCTCCAGCTCGCCATCCGTGGTGATGAAGAATTGGACACCCTTATCCGCGCAACTATCGCCTTCGGTGGTGTTCTGCCCCGCATCAACCGTGCACTGCTCCTGAAGGTCGAGCAAAAGAAGAAGGGTGGCAAGATCGAGCTCTAAATCAACATCTGAAAAAAGTTCTGAAAATTTGGGCTGCCACTGCGGGAGGTACCGTCGAGACCTCAATACCTTGACTCCTAAACCTACGACTAACCTCGGTGGCCCTTTTTTTTCAGTCCTCTCGTCTTTGTTCTTCACGGCGCTCTACTTTGATGTATTTTTTTTTCTGATATTCCCCGGTCTTTGCTTTCAATCGTGTTTCTTTTCATTTCGAGTTCATAGGGCGCTGTAATGGGAAAATGGGGATATCCTGGTAGTGGGAATTTTACTGATTCGATGTGCTTCACGATTCATTTTATTATGTATATGTATTAATTGTACGATTATCTATTTTGTAGGCTTTTACCTGTCGAAGTCTCTTGAGTATAGAATCCTGGGACTTCCAAGGTTGTGCTTCCGTGATTGGACTGATTATCCACATCACATTCCTGAGGGGTCAAACATTGATATTGTATGAATATTTTACAAGACCTTGCATACAAAATCAGGAACTTTACTAGCTCCACGGGGGATCGACAGGGACAAACCTGCATAACTCCGAGAGATAAACAATATGGGACCGCGTCATTTGTTCTTGGCATCTAGATTTTGGGTTCATCCCTGAGATTGGATGAAGGTAAAATGAGGTTCGTTTTTACTGTTGGAAATCCTTATAGTGGTGAGACCCAAAAATTCAGGTTAGAAGGACAGAGTGGAGATTCCCTCGGAATATTTACAACTATAATCTCGGCTCACTTACTAGTAGGATAGAAGTAAGGTAGAAGGTACATGGATTGAACTGTGAGAATCTGAGTACAAAGGCAAAGGCAAGAGAAAGAAAAAAAAAAAAAAGGATCCCTAGACTGCAAGGTACCAAGCATGAAGAGGAATAGAACCCTCCAGAAGGGGAAGTTGGGAAATATATCAACATCACTGACACAGGAATGCAAAAGATGCATTCGCACTGTGGAAGGTAGATCTGTAGAATGGGTACAATCAAAGGTTGCAGAATCACAATCAATATAACTGTTTCATTTTTGGAAGGGGAAAAAAAAACAGAACAGAGTTGTGGATTCACCCTGATCACCATTTTGCGAGACGAACGACGTCCAGTCAACGGGGAAAGCAGTCAAAGCACGCGGGAAAAGAAAGCAAAAAGAAGTTAAAAAGAAGAAACAGGCATGTCACAACCATCTTACCCGGACAAACCGAACATGAATTTCCACCGTGTAGGAGAGAAAGCAGTTGTCGGGATAAGACGGGCCAGAAACATTAAAACAGATGCGAGTCACCCCATGTACAAACTAAAACAGACAAGAATATGCAAAATGCTGGTATTGTCGTTTCTTCTGCCGTGGGCAGAAGGTCTTTTGTGTCATTCTTCGTATGCGTCCCATATCACCAGGAGGCGTTCGGGGTCGTGGAGTTCGTTCCGACACAGCATAAATAGAAATCCATGGATTTGCAAGGCGCCCGCAATTATCAGAAAGTGTTGGAAATAAAAAAAAGTATCAGTCCAGAACCAAGTCCAGAGTCTTCATGAAACTGTGAGTCGGGGAAATTTCAAAAGCATTCATCCAAACCGCGTGTTGGGCTGCCCCAAAGAAAAAAGGAAACGTCTAAAACTTGGCTAGATCAGCGAAACAAAGGATTTTCTGGTCTTTTTTTTTTGTGTTGTTGTCATCTCGTCATCCCTCATCGAATCGTAAGCCGGTAATTCGCAGAACAGGGACTCGTAATACAAGTCGTATTCGTCTCGCGGCAAATCAGTCGGATGCTGGCAATAAAAAAGGGAGTCGCCATCTTCAATAAATTCGTCCAATGTTCTACTCCACGATGATCTCTACTCCGGAGTTGGTGCGGAGCTCATCGCTTCCGCGGGCTTGGTGGCCGTTCTGCCGGCGAAATCCGGTGCCCTTATCAGGGGTCGGGCCACGGGGTTGGCGGACGGGCATGCGCTCCTGCTGGCCGTCATATCCCATGCCCATGCCACGGTTGCTACCAATGGCGCCAGCGTTAGATTGTTGGCTGTCCTGTTCCCAAGAGAACATGCCTCTCAGCCGACGGGGGCTCGAGTTGGGGCCACCAATACCGGTGCCGAGGGACAGACCACCCAGGCTGTTGACCAGCAGGTTGTCGTCACGCTGCATGCCAAGAGAGGAACCAGACTGCACAGGGGTGAGGGTCGGGGTGTTGGAAGTAGCAGTGGGCGCGCCCTCATACTGGAGGCGGGCACCGTTGGACTGCAATGCGGCGGGGAAGCTAGCGGAGGAAGGCACGGGCGACGGGGTGTAAGATCGCAGGTCGGCAAAGGACTTGGCAGCCCGCAGGTTCTGGCCATTGGCAAAGTTGCCAGGAGAGTCCATCACGCCCAGAAAGCCCGAGTTCTGTCCACGCAAGGTGTTAAAAGCCCCTGGCCCCTCTTGGCGAGCCTCACTGAAGTCGATGGTTGCCGCCCGGTTAAGGCCACGGCGACCACTGTCCGACTGGCCAGAGGGGGGATTGAGGAGGTCGGGGGGGGCTGACATTGGCACCGGCGGCGATCTTGAAGACTTGCACCTGGCGCTGTTCGCCGCTGCCACGTGAAGCATGACCCAAGCCCATGTTGTGGGCCAGGGTGTGGACTGTACGGCGTTGGGATGGAGTGAGGTTGTGGGGGAAGATCACAGAATCGCGAACAGTATCTTCCTTGAACAGGAGTAGTTGGGAGTAGTAAGAAAGGGTCTGGGTGTCGTTCAAGTCCACATCTGTACACGTGGAAAAAAATTTGGTTAGCGACAGGTCAAAATTTCCGACAACTTCAAGGATGTGTCACCTACCAATCTTTTGGCCACGCTGGGACACGGGCGATGGGGAGGTTGCCGGGATGTGCGAGGTGAGTGAAGACATGGAGCTCTGGGTCTGGAGCTGAGGGCCTCCTCCCATCGGGCGATGCTGTTCTTCCAGCTGGCCACGGCGCTCCCGCTTCTCGCGTTCGATCCGTTCTCGTTCCTGCAGGGGAAGCATCTTCTTGTACTCGACTCGCAATTTCCGACCCTGTAGCTCAAAGTGGTTGAGCACCTCGATCACAGTTGCTGTCTCCTCGGCGGAAGTGAAGTTGGCAAATGCCAAACCACGGAAGACACCATTGTCAAAGTGATAGTTAAATGCGTAGGGAAGGGGAAGGTTGAGCTCTGTCATCAACTGCACCAACTGCTCCTTCTTTACGGCAAAAGGGATATTCTTGATGACAATCGCGGTTGGGATCAATTCGTCGTCGTCGGCAGATGAAGCGGAGGCTTCCGGTCGCATGGCGCTGCTCTGAATGGGACCAGGGCCCAGGTTCGAGAATGCTTGGGGAATATTCGGCTGCTGATCCAACCACGTCTTAAGAAGCCTGTTAGTATTGTCCTCTCTTTTTCTTCTTTTTCTTCTTCTCCCCCTCATGAAGATAGGGGGAGTCATCGTTAAATGGGATGAAACATACCGTGGGAAGGCCTGCACGTCCACGGGCATTCGGCTTCAAACTGGCGGAAGCTGAGCGAATTCCTCCGAGTGTTTGTGCATTAGCAAAACCGTTGGGGTTCCAAGTCTGCGAGCCGGAGATATCATATCCGTAATTGTTCTGCAGGGATGGGTTCAGGCGTTCGAGGCGAGCGGACTCGTAACGCATCTGATCCTGTTCGTACATGTTGGTCGGCATAGGACCGTATGCGTCAAACTGTCGAGAAGGTTGACGGTGTAGGGGTTGTTGATGTCTCTGAGACCCAGGGGAACGCGCAGAATGATCGTGATACATGTCTTGATAACTCATCGAGAATTCCACAAGGAATGTGAAAATCCAAACCGGTTTAAGTAATAATTGTCACTACTCCACCATGAGAGCGACGCAAGGTTTGGAAGTAAAGAAACCGTCGAGGGACGGGATTGTGCGGATGTTTTGGGGGAGGAGGAAAACTTTGGACTAAAAGCCGATCGGAGGGAGATTCTGGGGCGGAGAAGGAAAAAAAAAAAGGAAAAATAGAAAAAAATAAGGAAGAATAAGAAAAATAAGAGAGAAGCAGAATAGAAAAGGCCAAATATCACCAAAGATCAAAGATTCTTTTTCATTCAAGTTCTCTTTTGGCTTTTCTTTTTTTCTTTTCCTTTTTTTGCCCGCGAAGTTGGATGTGTTGTGGTTATTGTGGTCCGGGGATTTCCCTTGGAACTGGGTGGAACTGGAGTTTTCCCAGGTATATCAGAGAACTATAAACCCAACCAAAAGTTGACAGATCTCTTTCAAGATCAAATATTGAAAATGACCAGAGAGCGGGGGGAAAAAAAGAGAGCAAAGAGAAATTTTTTAAAAAAGAAGAGGAATTCAACAGGAAAAGCGGTCCACAAATCCGCCAAGAACGGAGGGAGTAAGGAGGTGATTAAGTTGAAGAGAGATGAATAGGGAGAGAAAAAAAAAAGAGAGAATGAGATGAGAAGATGAAACGTAGTTTAGGTCGAAAAGCAGGTGATCAGTTAGATATGCAGGAAATCAGAAATTAAACCAGTAAGAAAAAAGGATCAAAAGGAGGCAAAGCCATACTTATAGCACTAATATAGAGCATACCCTGATAGTACTACTTCGAGTTTATATTAGATCTTCAACTTTTATTCCTCCCCCTGGATCTGAAGGTGGACTCCCCATATACCAATAAGATTATACTATTTAATCTGTGACTGCATGACAGAGTACACCCAGCACAGCCCTAGTACAAGAGAATTGCTTGGTTCTTTTAATTTGTATATTTGTATATTTGTATAACTGTATCATTTGTAACGGTATACACTTCCAGCCTAGGAAGGTTTCCCTTGAACTTTGGCTATATTATATGTACTCTGTATATTATAAACTAACTAGAACGTTACATACATCTACACCATGTATATTCCCCTTTTCCTCGGAATTGGGAACCTTGGAAGGTACCCCCTACCACTCACCAACTCAGAGGTGCCTAGGCAGAGATCAACAACTCCAGTCTCTCGGCTCCCCTGTCTCTCTCCTGTCAGTTCCTGATACTCCTTAGCCTTTTTACCAAGACGCCGGTGCCTCGTTAGACTCGTCACTAGGCGATTGAGAGGACCCCGTAGTGGACACGCTGGGAGTTTCTCATCCCTGAACGGATTTGGAGTATTATTTCCAATTTCACGGCGTACGGAGTATTACTCCGTCTTAAAATTATGTATTTGCATGCACCCGTGGACGAGTCCCACGGGTTGTCTGACGTATAGACGGGTTCGCGCCCTGCCTCGTGCGTTGCAAGGAGGGGGGGTTCATTCCTGCACACTGTACGGAGTATTCCGTATGTTGTATGTGATTTCTCTATATTTGACACAACTTGAACATGCATATATGGAGTATTTATCATGGACTCCGCTCCATTTTAATTACTGAATTCTTTTGGATATTCCATATTTCATCTGCTTCAGGGGGGTTTTTTTTCTATAATTACTTCTTATTACTATTTTATTCCGGGATACTATTATTACTCCTGAAGTTAGTTCCACCCCCTAATTTCACTTCGCCCCATCCTTCCACTCAAGGCGAATTCGTGACTCGCCACCTTATGAAGCCACCAAGTTATTTTAACACTTTGCCATAATGGTTCGGCCCAGTCGGATACGCTACCTTATTCCCATCGGTTATCGCAGCTGACACTACGGAGTATGCAGTACGGAGTACGGAGCACGGAGTACATGCAAGCTAGTATATTGGCGTCAGTCCCACTCCACGAAATTGGACCTTTCGCCTGGTCTCCACGATCCGCGCATCCCCCGTTTCTAGCGCATGCGCCGAAGCTCCTCAGAGGCTCATGTGGTCCAGCTAGAACCCGCTAGACGCTGGTTAGAACATTTAGTGGCAGTGTCAGATCCCGGGTGGAGCTCTGGAGCTCTCCGGCTCGTTATTACGATAATCGTACTCGGCATTGACTCCTCCGTATTCCGGAGTATGGTCGCTGGATTCAGATTGACGCTAGAAAAGACGGAACTTTTTTTCCCCCTTCTCTGACTTAGCCTAATTCGCTTCGGGTGTCGTTCCCGTAATAGGCCCCGTAGTCTGGATTAGGAGGTGTCGCTAGCAAGAGGAATTATGTACGGAGTAGCTCTGGCACATGACATTTCCCAGGTGCACTTTTAATCTTGCACTCTACTTAACCTGCGCTACCTACTCCATATATGGTTGTACTAAGATGAGAATTTGCGATCAACCCCAAACCAGGGGAAGAATTTATGGTAGTGGATTGATCTACAGAGCGTCGGGTCGGGTCGCAAGCACATCCACGTTTCAGGAGAAATTTGTGATTTGGACATCCAGGGACTCCCTAACTACTCCGTCCACGGGTAGTTCTACGGATTATTCATCCATGGATGGACGGAAGGATTGTCTCAGTAATCCTAACGAGTAGTCGTCCATGGGTACACCCCAAAGAGGCCATTACCCCCTGAGGTGAAGGGAACAAGCAATGCGTATCCACCATACAGAGTAGTCCTACTCCGTGGATTTTGTACTCTGAAATATCACTCACACAAAAAAGGAAAAAGAAAGTCTCCTAGGATCTACCCGCACAGAGACCGCTGCGCCAGGGAAAAGCAATATTGACATATCACGGCTGATCAAACGAGACTCCCGCTCCCCCCCTGGAAAATGAGACATATTTCTACCAATAGACCCATATTTGATCTTCATACGAAGTACGGAGTACTGAGTACAAAGTATAGGCCATTCTGAATCAGCCATAAATTATCTGACATAAGCCGGAGTCACTGGAGTTACAAGGTTAATAAGAGATAACCAGAGGGACTAAGAGATATACTTGAAACGACAGGCCGTCAGTTTCAAGAAACCAGACCAGCCTAAATGGACAAGCCTGGGCAATGTGTGTGTAGGCCTGAGAAATCAGGCAATGAACCAACCTTGCAGGGTTGGACCTCGAAGTCTGACGTACATTGTATATACAACATACATATAGTTAACCTAGTTATTCTACATATAGGATTAATGCATAAGGTCTGGCCCGTTTGACCCGTTTGACCCGTTTGAAACGCTCTAAGGTTACATCCTAAACTACTCGGTTAATTGTATGTAGTTTATGCAGTCTTTAAATCGGCTTTAAGCTACATAAATATATATATATATATATACAATTTTTCTACCTATATATTTTATATTTCAACACAACATACTCCATACTCCGTACAAAATGTGTAGTTATGGATAATCCATAAACTGTACGGAGTACATGAAATAATTCTAAAAATCAAGAGATCGACAGTTTCATGACAAGATCGGATTATTCGACACGAATGAGTGACGAGTGCCAGACCCACATGGAAAGAGGTTGCACTCGCCAGATTTGCGACTTGCCTCCGTGGACAGTGATGATTATTTCACTTGAGGCGAATAAAAATGTGCTCGGAAACTAGTAATAAACTAAATCTGAACATGTTTTTCTTTTTAAAAGAAAGAAAGAGGGGAAAAAAAAGGCAGATAGTCCACGGGTATATATTGTCCAGACAACGTACGTATATTTTGTGCAGCAACCACGCGGCCAAGCTGACGGGCTGAAGGCCAAGCCGTTGAAGTGGAGACTAACGTACGTTTAAAAGTGCGGGCTTTTCGCTTCTTGGGATCTCGATTAGATTTCGATTTATTTGATTTCGATTTCGCCTCAACTCGCATGCTGGACAATGCGAACCCCATTGCGAGTGGTGATAGCCATTGGCCTAATTACAACCCTGTTTTTGGTCAAATTTCACCTCGATTCCATCTTGCAATGGCAAACTGATGGAATCACTTCCGACCGCTATGTCTTGAATGGCGATTCATATATTGAGCTGGTCTCGCAAACTGCGACGCCAGCTTCACAGACCCAAACCCGAAGGAAATGGATCCCTACGGCCCGACCAACGCCTCGTCCATTGATAGCGAATCCGGAACCGAAGCGCATCCCCGTTGATGTCCCCGGCGCTGAATGGGCGGGAGAATTATTCTTCGGATCTAGAGGGGCGCCCAAATTCTATGATTTTGACAGCATATTCGACGACGCTCAAATAATTGCTCCAGCAGAGCATAATGATGCGGTGGCACCTTCGTCTACTGCTCCCCCTCGCCCAAAGGTCACTCCGAAATCGGATCGCGTCATTGTTCTGGGGAAGATGTCGTACGAAAACACTGATTGGCTTGAGGATGAGCTACCAGAGTATGTCTCTATAGACCAATCACTAATCGATCACAAACTATGTACGCAAAAACTAATCCAGAACTCGATTTCTAGATGGCAACACGCAGTCTACCTTGTCGATGACCCCGAAGCAGATTTGCAAGTTGAACAAAATAAAGGCAAAGAAAGCAGTGCCTACCTGCAATACATTCTCGACAACTACGACAAATTACCTGAGTACATGGTCTTCCTCCACGCTCATCGACATAGCGGCCACGTCGAATTCTGGGAGCAGGACAATGTGTTGACCGTCCAAAGACTACAACTCGACTACCTTCGACAAGTTGGATATCTCAACCTACGCTGTGACTGGAATCCTGGATGTCCCGACGAGGTCCAGCCATTCCGGCAAATGGCTGGTCGCACTACCGAGCTTGCCTTTGCGGGTGCTTGGATCCGTATCTTTAATAACACGGATGTGCCTGAGATGGTTGCGACACCTTGCTGTGCTCAGTTTGCTGTAACCAGGGAGCAGGTCCTCCAACGCCCACGAAGCGCCTATGAGTCATACCATGATTGGCTCATGACAACCGAATTGGATGACGAGACGAGCGGTCGCGTCTTTGAATACATATGGCACATTATTTTCGGGCAGGATCCCGTATTGTAAGTTATAACACAAAAAGATGTCTAGGGAATTGATGCTAACCCTCGAGCGTGAATAGTTGTCCTGCAAAGGCACAGTGTTACAAGAATGTATATGCCATGGATTACGTGGAACCGGCTGATGATTTCTTTGATGATGACTTCTGGGGCAATTGGGACGATGAAACGCCTGTAGATGAACCACCTGTGTATGAACCACCTGTGCATGCGACACCTGCGAAGGGGATGCTCGTGAAGGAAACGCCTGTGCACGCAACACCTGTGAACGAGACATGATTGTATTTACCTAACTTATATAAAGCTTCTGGGATGTATCCATACCTGGACTTGCCTTAATGTTCAATGTGATTGCTTCTTAATTCTGTTGCTGTATATTGTCTCTACTTTATGTCTACTCCCGAGGTTAGCTAGTCACCGACAGATCTTGGCCAAATAAACTCGACCATAACTATACTCGTGTCTTTTCCAAAAGAATCCGAAATCGCCAATTGCATATACTATAGACTATCTCAAACTAGACATAACTCATCGATATCATCTGCAAATATAAAGGAAGACATTGGATATATTCATCAAACCATCGTATATCTCTTCACTTGCTCGGTTTTGGCACACTCCTCACAGCCAAGCAAAAGCCATCAGTCCCATGACACCTGCCATGTATGCAGCGCTGGGAGCAGAAATACCAGCTGCAGTATCAGGAGTAGGTGTGGGAGAGGACGCAGAGCCTGAGGAGGCATCAGCGGAACCAGAGGATCCCGAGGAGACAGACGTAGTCGAATCCTGGCTGTTGGTTCCGCTGGTACTAGAAGTGTCTGTGACGGTTGCTGTATTTGAACCAGCAGTGGTGGTAGATGTGCCAGTCACAGTAGTGGCGGCAGAGTTGTAGGTAGTCGTGGTGAGCGAGCAAGAGTGGACCAGGTCAAGGGCCTCTGATCAATACATTAGATTCGTTTTGTATCTTATTGATGTATTCACATTATACATACCGTTATCGTCGTCGTCGTCGTCATCGTCATCATCGTCATCGTCGTCATGGTCGTTATGGGTGATGTTGTGGTTGCGCCTGTCGGCTTGATACTGGGTGATGCAGGCGGAGCAGAGCGGAATCTGAGTTCTGGCAGCGTCCCAATCGCAAATGCATTGGATCTCAGCCGAATCCCGTTCGTGCTGGGCATCACAACTCTTGGCGATACCGACAACGGAGCCACAGGCAGGCCAGCAGCGGGTGGGGACGTCATCGTGGTCCAATTTGGATGCGATAGCAACGCTGGCAAGTAGGAGGCCACAAAGAGGGAGGAATTGCTGGATACGCATGGTTATTGATCTTGATGATTGTAGAGTGTAGATCGATTTGGTTTTTTTTCTGTTTCTGATCCAAGTGAATGGCGGGGATTCAAGACATATTTATGTTGAAATTGGTATAACTCTGTTCGCTAAGCCCATTCCAAGCAACCCGGTATTTGCTGGTTTTTTTTGGCTTTACATGCAATCCATAGGATATGTTCTTCTTTGTCGGCACTCCCCGTGTATAGTGGGTTCTGAATTAGGAAGTGAACTGAGCCCCCAAGTGTGTCCACCCTTGTCAACAACAAGATCAACTTGGAAGTATGCAATTTGGATGCACCGATCAGCGCAGAACCGCCAATGTTGATTGTGCAAAAGTAGCTGCCTGGTTTATGTCACCAGCCAAGACTATGCCAAGCGTTTGAATGGCAGTACCCATATGAGGGTGCTAATAATATCGTGCATTTGGCTTTTGTGTTCTACATATTTTTCTATCAATATGCAAGCACTGTGGCTATGCTGTATCCCCGAGCTGTGTATGGGTTACCTTTGGACATACATTCTTGAGTTACTCCATACTCCTCTTCGTTTGCCAAGCAAGGGTCCTATTCAACCCCGGAGATCCTATACAAGTCCAGGGTCTAAGCCACGCTATGGGGCCAATCGGTGCATATCAGTCAGGGAAATTCTGCAGCCTTCAAGGCCATAGGCTAATTGACTTTCTTTGTAGCTATGGGAAGTACTCTCTACTCCATACACAACTCTCGAATATAAAAAATCATGTTTGAATCTATAATTATCAAGTGAAAGAAGCTATGCGGGTTGCCGATAGCCGAGCACATCATTCTGCTATATATAGATAGCCCTGGTGTATACTCCGTACAACCGACCCTAAATGTTATGTGAGTTAATCTCCAGGCTTCAGCATTCTTGAAATTTTGGGGTATTGCTCGTTAATCTATGAACAACTTTCGAATTTCATGATTTTATATGGTATACCATCTGAAATTGCCCAAAGTGACTTTGTTGACCGCTAGTCCAGACTAACGAGACTATCGATAAATTTGCCCAATTTTGAGTAAAGCTAGGGAGTAGTGGATTCATTCTAGTCTGGTCAGTATGTTATACTCCGTACTCGAATAAGTATTACTTCCATCGCCTAGGGCTTCTAGTACTTAGTAAGAAAGCGTTGAAGTGGACCCCGCAATCATAACATCATCTAGAACATTCCCACCTTGACCGTACCTCTGCTCTGCTCTCTACCTAGGTACATTTAACCGAAGCTAGTCAATCACGAACCTTTTATCCCGTTGATCCCTAAAAAATAGAGACGATTCGAACTGTTGGCAAGATGTGGGAAAAGTACTGCCTGCGTCCAACTCAGGGCACTGTCTCCACCACCATCCCAGTTTTCGTCTACGGCACAGCCTGGAAGAAAGAACGCAGTGCTGATCTGGTTTATAATGCAATCAAAGCTGGTTTCCGGGCTGTGGACACAGCGGCCCAGCCCCGCCATTACCAAGAGCATCTCGTTGGTGATGGCATCCGCAGAGCAATTGCCGATGGGATCGTCGGCCGAGCAGACTTATACGTGAGTGGGCAGTTGTTATTTTTAACTTATATGTATTTTGGGGGTTTCTAGCTAACTATAACTAGGTGCAAACCAAATATAGTCCTCTTTCAGCACAGGATCTGGCCAACATGCCCTATGATCCTTCAGCGACGGTGACGGATCAGGTCCATGCATCTATCAAATCATCACTGCACAATCTTCGCTCAACAGTTGACCCCGACTCCGTGGATGAGTCCTACATTGACACAGTGATCATTCATTCACCACTGTCAACTTTGGCCCATACCCTGGAGGCCTGGCATGCCCTTGAAACTTATGTCCCCCGCCACATTCGGAATTTAGGTATCTCCAATTGTACATTGCCTATACTCCGAGAATTGTGTACATCGTCCCAAACAAATGTGAAACCATCGGTGGTCCAGAATAGATTCTACGAGGACACTCTTTTTGATGTCCCCCTGCGCGCGTTCTGCCGCGAAAATCAGATCATATATCAAAGCTTCTGGACTTTGACAGCGAATCCAGACCTCATGCGCTCCGAGCCGGTGCAGCAGCTTGCTCGCCATGTTAACATCACCCCGGCTGCTGCTTTTTATACTTTAGTTATGGGCTTGAAGGATGTGGTGGTGCTGAATGGGACCAAGGATGAGTCCCGCATGAAGGAAGACTTGTCTGCTCCTAAACAGGTCGAGAATTTTACGCAGAAGGAACCTGAGTTATGGCAACAGATTCTGACGGACTTCCGGGGTTTGATAGGGGAATCTAGAATCTAGTTCCACATGAAATGTTGAGTGAGCTGTGTTAATGCTTCTATGAGAGACAGTCGCGTCTTGCTTTAAGGGTAGTAGTTACTGAAAAAGAAAAGAAAGAAAAAAGAAAAGAGAAGGATTGAGAATTGTAAGATCACCCGTGTAGGTATATTATTGATACCTGATAAGCATGCGTGATCACATGGCAATATGAGGTACTCATACTCGTCACCACTGCTGACTCAGTCAACGCCTCCCCCGGAACCGGGGCAACTGGGTCTCGCCGCTGAGTAGCATGTTTCATATTCATCTTATTGACAGAATAACACATTTTGATTTAGCTCCAGGTCTTCCGACGCTGGTCTAGATATAATACTTGGCATATCAACTCAAAACTCATTCACCGCCCAGTGGGCGCTTTCTGCTGCAGCCTCCCGCCTTAATCTGGATGTTGGACAATTCACGCGCCCCATTGAGCGTCATCTGCCTAGTATTGATCAACTGCTAGTCCTTGATTTGCCGCCTGTTGTCGATTTCGGTAATCATTCGTCTGCTTCGGTGTTGATACACTAGACTTCACGCCCAGATCAGCGTCATCCCCATTTTTTCCCTCTCTCTCGGTTCAGTGGTCAAAGCCTTCTTGACTCAAAATTAGAAAGCGACTTGAATGAACAACTTCCCACATACTGAGTTCGCATCTGGTTCCTTTGTCTCCTAGGCAAAATTCCTGCGGTCAACTCAGTCTCCTATCCAGAGACCAAAGAAAATCGGGATACAATTCTATATCAAACCCCACCGCGATAAGATTCAACTCAACGCCTCTACGCCAGCTTATTCACAATGAGCTCGCAAGGAATGACTCGCAAGAGACCTGCACCGGGGACAGTACCGCCTGTCCATCCTCAGATGAACCCTGTACCGAACTTTCCGACCACTGCGAACCCCGGCTCTCAACTTTCGAACGATCAATTCTTACAATGGGGCCAGAACCCCCCCCGTCAATGCCATCAATACCGCTGCCTTCTCCGATCCCTCCTATAACACCGTAGGCTTTGCGCCACCCCAAGATGTGTCTGCACCGGCTGCGACAGCATCTAACCAGCTCGCCCGCCGACAAGCGAACCAGGTAGTCAGCCGAAACCGTGGTTACGAGCAACCTCCTGCTTCATATGTGGAAAACGGAGGAAACACTGGGAATGGAGAGAGTGGCGCATGGGGGGAGTCTCTAGAGGAGCTCTACCGGCGAGCCTTGACTGCGAAGAGAGATTCACAGGCAAAACGAAAGCAAATTCCGCCATTTGTACAGAAACTGAGCAGGTATGATACATCCATCATTTTGTGATTAATTATAGAACTAACTGAGAACCACAGCTTTTTGGATGAATCTAAGAATACGGAATTGATTCGATGGTCTGACGATGGCAATTCTTTCGTCGTCCTAGACGAAGATGAGTTTGCGAGAACATTGATCCCCGAGCTCTTCAAACACAATAACTACGCCTCATTCGTTCGACAACTGAACATGTACGGCTTTCACAAGAAGGTCGGACTTTCCGATAATTCAATGCGCGCCAGCGAACGGAAAAACAAGAGTCCCAGTGAATACGCGAACCCTTACTTCAAACGAGGTCACCCAGATTTGCTATGGCTCATTCAGAAGCCAAAGAACGCCGGAGGTGGCGGACATGCGAGCAAACCCAGCAAGGGCGGCACGCGCGTGAAGACGGAGGATATCGATGATAATGACATGGACGAGTATGCCGAAGAGGGTGCACCGGCACCTCGTGATAACCGTGCCCCCCGACCACAGCAATTGTCATTAGTCACGGATAGCTCGGTACCCAGTGATCAACTTTCTGGGGTATATCGCGAACTTCAGGCGATTCGTCAACAGCAGTCGATCATTTCAACCACAATCACCAGGCTGCGGAAAGAACACGAGCAGCTCTATGCCCAGGCAGCCAACTTCCAGGAGCAACACACCCGCCATGAGAACTCTATCAATGCCATTCTCACATTCCTTGCAACTGTATACAACCGCAGTTTGCAGGGAGAGGGCGGCCCGCAAAACCTCGCAAATTCTTTTGCGGGAGCCATTTCGCAAGACCAAGGAAACATTGTGGATGTTGATGATGACTACCTTACCAATGCTCTAGGATCAATGACTAGCCCGAGTGCCCAGAGAACAATGAAGAAGCCGCCACTACTTTTGAAGGCCCCGCCCGCAGCGGATGCGTATAATACTCGATCCTCCACAATTTCACCATCAGCCAGTGGTTCCTATGACACCCGGTCTCGTGGTCATGCTCGACAACCCAGCGCCAACCAGCATGGCCATGTGGAGGAGGTCTTTGACCACAGTCCTCGCCCAAGTGCTCCAAATGTTTCTCCGGGACAGCCGGCAGACGAGAATTCCCCTCAGCAGGACATTATGTCTGTAATTCAAAACTCCAATGCACGCAATGGGCTCTCGACAAACTTCTCCGAGTTCCCCAATGTGCTCTCCTCCCTCGAAAACCATGGTGGTAATGTTCCCCTCACCGCAAATCAACGCGCCGATATGCTTCGACTCATGGCCAACGAAACAAATTCATCAGAACCCAATGCTGGCGTATCGCCCAATAATGCGCTCATCTCGCCGAATCCACCACCCATGCCGCACACCTACTCGGGTAGGCTAGCCAGTACACGACAAGAAATCGACAACC